TTGCCAGGTCCCAAGTTTGTTTACCCGGTCCTGGGACCTGGTGTAGCGGCGCCACTGGTTATCACACAAGACATTTTACCCCCCCCCCCCACACGCCCACCCACCCCCCCCCCCTAAAAGATATCTCAATGATAAATGTGTTATTAGTAAATAACAGTCTACTAAATATAGATGTAGTATATCATGATATGTAGGGCCTAGTTAGACTCTTATTCTTAAGTTAGTTTCTATCAAACTTGACTCACTGAACCTTGAAAAAATAAACAAAATGCTGGTATGGTATTAATAAATGAACTTACCAACAAATATAATTTTCACTATGTTGCTTGGTTCCGACTGTCCTTTTGAATTCCTTGCAGAGCAAGTGTAATTACCGGACAATGATCTGCTGTTAGGATATCTGTACTCGGAATCAAATTAAGTATGATAAGAATTAATGCAGTACGATTTCATTATTTTGATTTTTTTATAAAGAAACTCATTTGGATTTCTCTACACTACACAACACCATAGATGATTTAAATTAAGTTTTATTTTTAAAAAATAATAATAACATTTCCTCTTTTATACCATAGTTACAAAAGGATTCTATTTTTTATGACATGTGGCATAATGTGTTCGTTTATTACGAGTCTATGCATTAAAAAAGAAAAAAAAAAAGAAAAAAAAAGAAAAAAAAAAGAAAATAGGGTAGAGAAAAATTAAGTTTTATTTTTAAAAAATAATAATAACATTTCCTCTTTTATACCATAGTTACAAAAGGATTTTATTTTTTATGACATGTGGCATAATGTGTTCGTTTATTACGAGTCTATGCATTAAAAAAGAAAAAAAAAAAGAAAAAAAAAGAAAAAAAAAGGGAAGTGGGGTTGCGGACATCACCCATTAGAAACTCTTTAAAGTTGGGTAAAGATAAGAGAAGCTATTGGTTACGTCAAACGAACAAACCTGTTGTATTTACAAAATAATTTTACAGTCTAAAGAAAATGCTTGAGGTTTTTAAAAAAATCTAAAAAAAACAACAACAAAAACACACCTTCTCCACAATTTCTCACACATAATTATACAGCTATACACGATATTGTTTTAAAATACGCACGACTGAATGTGTAATGACATGTATTCAAATACAAATTACGTAATCCAAAAATCCTGCCTACATATAATATGTCGACCATGTCTGTGTGGTGATGAGAACACCATTCCTGAAGAAATATGTCTGAACATTGTTGCCTGAAGTCTTACAGGTCAGATATACATAACCAGAGGTTTGAAACAACGGTCCGGGTGGGTTTGCTTCAAGAACAGGTGGGTCAGGTGGACTCACTGTAAAATGTAAAATGACATTCAATAGCAATCTTTAAGGTTATTGGCAACGTCATAAATAAATTGTTCTTAATGTACCGGTATGTTTAATGCACAACATACCATTGATAATGCATTTAATATTCATAATTAAGTTCCGTTTTTTTTTTAAAAATAGTTACCGGCATAGGCTTTTTAAAAAAGCACCAGAAATATTTATATAAAAATGAAAAGTGGTATTTTTCATCGCGCAAGTACACTTATGTGCTAGCTTACCTAAAAGATCATACTGGTTACTCTCTGGGCTCTGTGAATTATTTTCATTGAAGTAAAGACAAACATAAACTCCGTCGTCACTTTTTGTGAGGGGGTTAAGAGAAATGGAGGGCCCTTCATTTCCGACAAGCACTGCAAAGTTCTTAAGCCAAGAGAACCTGGACACGTTGACGCCAGCAGGTGCATTGCAATGAAGTGTTAAGTTCTGTCCGAGCTCCGGGACCAGAGGCGTAGATGCGATCACTGGATTAGCTGCAGGTGAGTAAGACAAAAATTGAACTTTGGTGAATTTTAACAGATCATTACTATTTTTTTTTCAAATGTTTTTTTTTTAAACAAGAACTATTATTCAATAGCGCAAATGGCACACCAAGCACAACAGCATTAATCATGCCGGTGTGAAAAGTGGAAGGTTGAATGACCTGCATTGTGCTTAGTAGATAATTTGATCTATCTCTAATGTGCAGTTAGTAAAGATGGGGGGAGGGGGTCGGAGGCAGATATCAGGGCAAGAAGAATAGAGAAGGAAGAGGTCCTTTTTATTTACTAAAGATATTTGGAACGCCAGACAATAAATAAGAAAAAAGACAAATATTATAATTTTAAATGTTTTGCTGTATGGCTCAGAAAGCTCGAGATCAACATAGGACGGTTGGAAAAGGCTGCCATCTTAGTGCATATTTGCCTGCGTAAAATCCTCAACATCAATTAGTGGTTACACAAATTCCCAAACTCAGCTGTAAAGGAAATTACAGCACAGATCCCAGTGGAGTAAGAAAAATCCAGAAAAGAAGGGGGAAATTGATAATTTTATACCATGACACAACTCATACTAGCACAAGGACACACAAGACCCAAAATCATCTTGAGAAGAGATGTCGTCAAAGAAGTATCAAAGAATCTAGAGTTAGAGAGGATAGCTAGAGACATGGGCGCCCGCAGAAAACTTTCTAGGGGGGGGGGCAAAATTTTTTTAGTAATGTTTTACTGTAGTTTTAATTTACTGTAGCGTATTTGTAAGGTGAACGAACGGCTGCCCATGGCTAGAGATCGGAAGGCGTGGAAAGAAATTGCTAATGGCATATGCTCCACTGGGAGATGAAAAGGCTAATAGAAGAAGACGGAGATTGCTCAGAATATATTATTAAAAAATGTTGCACAGTTTTCACAGTTACGCCATGGCGGGTAAACGTATAGATTGAACTTTGCATCTGTTGCGTTCATATATGAACATATAAATAATACATAAGAGTATCCGATAATTGACATTGATATAAAATATATAGAGATTTCATACTTATCAAATAAACTCTGAATTAGGCATCTGGGTATATTATTAGGTCATATTTGTGTACACATACTAAAAGTAAAGACTAACACAGACTAAACGTAAAGACTCGCACAGACTGAAAGTAAAGACTAACACAGACTAAACGTAAAGACTCGCACAGACTGAAAGTAAAGACTAACACAGACTAAAAGTAAAGACTAACACAGACTCAAAGTAAAGAATCACACAGAGTAAACGTAAGCTCAAACATACAAAAAGTAACTAATCGCATGGACTAAAAGTAATGATTCAAGCCAACTAAAAGTTCTTCTGTCTGGTTTTTCATCAAAATATTTCATTTAAAAACTGCAGAAATTTTTTAAAATTTTAATCAGCTGCTAGGTTATTTCTAGAGTCAAAGAAACGTGGTCTCGCCACTCCACCACTTCACTCACTCCACTGGCTCCCTTTACAGGCACGCATTGACTACAAGCTGTCTGTTATGTGTCATAACTTTTTCTCTGGTTCCTGCCCTTCAAGTCTTACTGAACTTCTTTCTGTCTGTCACCCCTTCGAAAGCTTTGCTTCTCCACAGACACGCGTATTCTTTCTGCTCCCAGAACACGCACTAAAACATTTGGTGACGATCTTTCTCTTTCTGTGCCCCCCCCCCTAAAAATGGAATTCTCTCCCATTACACAACCGCAAAATACCGACCATACCAGCCTTCAAAACTGCCCCCAAGACCCATCTCTTCAAAATCAACTATATCGAATCATGCTCACCCCCTTAACTGATAAACAACTCTCCATGCTGCTGGGCGCTGTTCAGGGGTAGATAGTATTTGGGTGGGTGAGGTCCATGTCTAGACAGGGGTAGATAGTACTTGGGTGGGTGAGGTCCATGTCTAGACAGGGGTAGATAGTACTTGGGTGGGTGAGGTCCATGTCTAGACAGGGGTAGATAGTACTTGGGTGGGTGAGGTCCATGTCTAGACAGGGGTAGATAGTACTTGGGTGGGTGAGGTCAAGCTTTTATCAGTTTTTTTTAAAATTTATAATTTTTTGTAATTGCTAATTTTTATGTGAAGCGCAGTGAGTGCAGCCCTAGGCTGAGGTACTGCGGTATATAAATCAACCTTAATAATAATAATAAAAGTAAACACACAGGCTAAAAGTAAAGACCCACACAGACTACAAGTAAAGACCCACACAGTCTAAAAAGTAAAGACTCACACAAACTAAAATTAAAGACTCACAAAGGCTAAAATAACGACCACACAAACTAAAAGTAAATACCCACACAAACTAAAAGTAAATACCCACACAAACTAAAAGTAAAGATCCACACATACTAAAAGTAAAGTCTCACACAAGAATAAAAGTAAAGATCCACACAGACTAAAAATAAAGACCCACACAGACTAAAAGCAAAGACTTACACAGACTAAAATTAAAGACTCACAAAAACTAAAATAACGACCCACTCAAACTAAAAGTAAATACCCACAAAAACTAAGAGTAAAGACTCACACAGACTAAAAGTAAAGTCTCACACAAAGAATAAAAGTAAAGACCCACACAGACTAAAAATAAAGACCCACATAGACTAAAATAAAGACCCACACAGACTAAAAATAAAGACCCACACAGACTAAAATAAAGACTCGCCCAGACTAAAAGTATAGATTGACTCAAAGATAAACTCATTGCTTGCGCTTTTTATTCTTCAAAATAATTTAGAAATTGGGTCAAGTCCTGTGAAAGAATTGGTAGAACTCACCTAAGATCACCCAACTCACAGAAATTATCGTCGGCCTACAGTAGATCATTATTTATTTATTAGCACGTAAAGTGTCTGTTTACACATGATTGTATCAGTTAAACGAATAATAGAATAGTTTTAAAAAGGGTTTCGCTAAGGAGGTTGTAACGGGGGTACGCGCCCCGGGCACCAACATCAGGGACGGGGCGCCAAAATCGTTTTGAGATGGGGCTTAAATAGTGAAGCAAATGATAAAATACCATGAACTTTACAAAGACACAGTGCGTGAAAATTGTATATTTACTTGTCCAGCCCGGATTGCACTTTTCCTTCCTCTATATCAGTGGTTCTCAGCCTTCCTAATGCCGCGACCCTTTAATGCAGTTCCTCATGTTGTGGTGACCCCCAACCATAAAACTATTTTCGTTTCTACTTCATAAATGTGGTTTCCGATGGTCTTAGCTCTTAGGTGACCCATGTGTAAGGGTCGTAAGACCACAGTTTCAGAACTGCTGCTCTATATAGCGGGTTGTCATTTTCAGACTTCGCCCCTGTCAAAGATTTTCATCGGCACAGGCCTGCAGGAACATCACATTAAGTTAACCTGTGGATCTTTCCTTTTTTTTTATTTGGAGGGGGGGGGGGGTCATACTAATAAATTAAGCAGCGCAGTCTGTGAAAATCTTCAACCCCCGTGGCTGCCTCATAGCCCGCATTCATCAAGAGACTATCCTGCAGGACTGCTGACACTACTGCTACTAACAGAAACGGCGTTCATGTGGTGGAGAAAGTACTCGAGCCTTGAAATCCTGCCACCCACTTAACATATTTTTTAAAAAAAACCACTTCGTTTCAATTTACGACTTCGATTTAAAACTCAAAAATTTATTGTGCTGTTTTAAAAAAAAAAATGATTATTATTGTCTCACAAACAGAGGTGTTAGCGAGAGTGTCTGGCGCCCGGGGACAAGAGCCGTTTTAAAGAGCCTTTCTTTCTATTTTTCAACCCTCAAACCCATTATTTTCATCAATAAAATAATATCAAAGGACATTTTGGCGCCCCTAACTAGTTGGCGCCCGGGGACATCTTTCCCCCCTTCGCTACGCCTCTTCACACAAAACACGATTTGATTCTGCACCAAGCAAGACTTCATTTTAGACCTATTTCGTCCATGCAGAAAAAAGCATTCAAACGAGTGCTACGATAAATTTCTACAAGTGTACGACAAACCGTCCTACATACTATGTGACATTAAAATAAATAAACAAGCCATGTACGATTTAAACTAATCATTACCTAGTCTTGTTTGTGTGTTGACTCCGCCAAAAAGCGCCAGTAACAGACACGTTGATTGGACCACAACGATTGTAATCTGAACTTGGAGGCCCATCTGTAAAGGAAGAGACAAACATATAGATATAGTGGTATGAGTTGTTATTTTAGATGGCATGCTATAGAGACCACTCGTTTGATGTGGGGATAATGATAATATTTTTTTGTCTATTATAACCCCCCCCCCCCTCATTCATAATCACCATCATATTTTAATTACTTATTTAATTATTCATAGCGATTTATTTTTAAAATGTTGGGTGGTAAAAGGGAGAGACAATATTTACAATACACATATGCAACTACAAGGATACAAATCAGTGGCGATATTCAGTCGGTCGGCACTATTTCGACAAAACAGATAGGCCTACATCAGAGGCGTAGCTAAGGGGGTGTGGGGGACAGATGTCCCTGAGTGCCAGTCTAGTTAGGGGCACCTAAATGTGCTTTGATATTATTTTATTGATAAAAATAATGGGTTTTAGAGTTGAAAAAAGAAAGAGAGGCTCTTAAAAATGAATCTTGTCCCCGGGCGCCAAACACAAGAGGCGTATCGATGGGGGAGCAGGGGGGGCAGATATCCCCGGGCGCCAGCTGTCCCCGGGTGCCAGCTGTCCCCGGGCGCCAGCTGGTTAGCGGCGCCAAAATTTTCTTTGATATTATTTTATTGATGAAAAAAATTGATTTGAGAGTTGAAAAAAAGAAAAGAAGGCGCTTTAAAATGGATCTTGTCCGCGGGCGCCAAGCACCCTCGCTACGCCTCTGCCAAACAACACTCTAGCTACGCCTCTGGCCTATATTAATTTGGGGAGGGGGTAAGTTAAGTGAACTGGCAGACGTATAGAACCACTCAATGTGAGAAGAAGGAAAAAAAAAGCAATACTAATCGCGATGGAATGATACCACATAGGTTAGACGGAACGGAATCCTGCTTCCAATGACAAGGCCGATGGGTAAAGTGGACGAGGTTAAGAAGACACTACTCTTTTGATGCCGTCAGCGATTTGGAGAAAAACCAAGAACAGAGGGGAAAATGCGTCTGTTCCTTGCACCGAGGCCCGCATAAAGGCTTTAATATTTAATATGTCACTGCCAATTCAGCGGTGATAAATGCAAGACCTTCAGATAGAAGAAAGAACCTCTGGAGTTAACAGCAGCCTTCCCACAGACCAATTGGTTTAAGTCTATACTGACGGCTCATGTTTCACAAACGAGAACTGAGCTGTATCTGGTGCACCCACAGAGTACCAAAAGTGTGTGGGGGGTTGGGGGTGGGGTCCTCCAACAGAGGAGTTTTTAGGGCCCCAATTTTTATTATTATTTTTTTTTCTTCAGGGCCCCAGAGAAATTTGGGTTGCCCTGAAACAAGTGCATCGCCGCCTAACAAGGAAAAATGCTTCCTGACCAATGTGGTCTTCACCTGGTCACAGTTTGCATTTGAATATATGAGTGAGGAGCTCGATGGAGTCAACAATGGTCAACGCCATTCTGGAAACAGTAGACGACATCCATGCACGTGGCAGCGTTGTCATTCTCCAATGGCTCCGTTGTAATGTTTGAGGTGCCGCAAATTAAGAGAGCAGATGGTGATGCAGCCCAGCAGCAACCCGAGCGACGAATGACTCAACTGGGAGACAAAGTCTGGGCGCGAAGATCACTTTCGTGAAGAGTGGCTCGAGGGCTGGGTGTCAGGTGACACGCCTCGAACGCTCTACCGCAACACACCGAGACCGAGTGAGAGCGACCCCTGGTGGTAACAGCCACGAAGCTAACGAAGCCTCATCACGCAGACAAGCGAACCGAGCACTCCCCCGACACCAAGCTACCTTACATAGACTCGATTCACGTAGGGATTCTCATTGTCGACTCTGTGAGTTGCCACTGAAACAGTACAACACCTGATTGCAGAGTGCCCCGATATTGAGGGTGGCTTTTGACAGGGGAAACCCGGAAACCTGGGTAACCATTCAATTTATTGCGAGGCCCACTTGAGAAGACTCGCATCCTAGTATGGATGAACACAGAAAAAAGTCTTACGGAGTGCGCACTTTTGAAGCGATAGCGCCAAAATTATGGAACAGTTTGCCTCAATCTTTGAGGGGAATTGAAAATTTATTTTAAAAAATCATTTAAGAAACATTTAAAAACTTTTTTGTTTAAATAGATTTCGGAAAACCAGAGTGCAGTGAGCATGCTAAAGTGGCATGGATACCAGCGCGATATAAATTTCAAATCAACCAATCAATCAATCTGATGTGCTAGCCAGGGTTTTAAGAGTTTGGTTACAAAAAATAGCATTAAAAATATTTAATTGATATATTTCTCATCAGCTTCACCATCTTTGTAAATTCTCGAGTCCATAACACTTTTTATGTTTTTAGCACACATAAGCAAACGGGCCAAAGTAAGAAAATATTTTATTGGGAAAGTATTAGAGCTCTCTAAGGGGTCATCTTCATATTGCGTAGGCCAGGCCTGCACAACTCAAAATGTAAGGCGGGCCGTAAGACTTTACAAAAAAACTTGTGCGGGCCAAAAGAAAATAGGACAGGTGGAAAGCTGTTAAGAAAATAACAAGAATAAAGAATATTTCGTCACTTCGTGGGCCGCAAAGTAGGTACTGGTGGGCCACATGCGCTTAGCGGACCGTATGTTGTGCAGGCCTGACGTAGGCTATACCCCTGTGGTGTACCAATGTCATATGATACTCACAACAAGAACTGAAATTGCTCCCCTTGAAAAATCGTTATATAATTAAGACTTGGATTTGGAGAACCAATTTCAATTCAGTGTATAGCAACAGCAGTGCACGTCACAATAGTCACTCAGTTGTGTATAAAAGTAACACACAGCCCTGTCGGTGAAATCATGTGGATTGCCTACTGCTACCCCTTTTCGTATAACCACCACATATTACCAAATAGCATACAAGGATGGCAGATTAAGCTATTTACTGTGCAACATTTTACCTTATTTACTAAAGGTAAATAACAAAAATATAAGATTTTACACACTTTTATGAGCTTGCCGGTTATGCCCCCCCCCCCTAATCTTTCAAAGGGGGCTCATGGCATGTGTCTTTCCACACTTTTAGTACGCACCTACCCCCACTATTTCTTTTCGTATAACCACACTCTATTGCCACATGACGCAGACGGATAACAGAGTCAATTCTTTAAAAAAAAATAAAAAAAATTAAGAATTAAAATACCCAGAATTGATTAATTCCCACACCCTAAAATATTTCTCGACGAGAAAATGTTTTAAAATGTCAACCGTATATTTCGTTCAAATGTCTATTAAAGCTTCAAATTCAATTCAACGACAATATTCAATATTGCTAATCGATTATCAGACAGGCTGTCAATATAGAGAATTCATGTCACTTCCTTATTGAACGCCAGGGCCTGTTTCTCCTGCTGTAGGGGGGGGGGGGGGAGGGTGACACTTTTATGGCAATGATTCTTTAGAACAATTTGATCAACGGTTTGTATTTCAAAGTTTGGAACTCATTCAAATGAAACCCGCATTTTAAAAATATCCTACACATATGCTGACACTGCCGAAACGTTTAATTCAAGTTTAAAGCCGACGCTGACGATCTATTTATAGGGAAACATCAAACAACGTCAGTGCCATGAGACGCGTATAGGTTTACCGGATTAATTAGACACGAACAATTTGTTGTCAATTTAACACCATATGTTTAGCTTTAATAATAATTTGAGTTAATACACAAGTAAACGTTTCGTCGCATGCCTCCTTCATCAGTATAACAACAAAACGTTTAAATAAGAGAGTATAAATTTAAAAACCAAAGAACCCCATTTTTCTTCTGCCACAGAAGAACGTGACTGTGACCACCAATCAATTAATTTCACAGACGTCATTAGAATACAACTCAACAAACTAAGACAGAGACAAATCACCGAGTGTGATACAATCGTGAACAACTTACCTTTTGTCTGTGTGTGTGCTAGCTGTTACCGCGTTCTTTTGATTGGTGTAGCCCGGTGCTGGACACAGACCGCGTTCAATAATCAATCAGTTATCATCAAGTGGTGAAGACACGGGCACACGAAGAAAGCTAACAGGTTATATCCAAACTCCTCAAAATTGTGCTAGAGTTTTTTGAAGCGCCGTCATGGGAAAAGTCATGCCATCTTTATGATAAACGTATCTGTCTTAAAAATTCCATTTATTCTTTTAGTTTCGATTTTGCTGGAAAAGCCAGCACAAAAAACGTTTCCGTAATAAAGGAACGTTCCGGATGGGTTGTCTTATATAGGCCTACCACCCTGCGCTACCATGGTCTATTTTTAGCCGTCAGGGAACGCATAGACCTGTGTCACCAACCCGAGTGACCTTTTTTTTTTCAAAAACTCAGTCAACAGTGGAAGGAATTTCTGAAGTCGTAGATCAAGGTTTGGCGAACATTTTGGTAATATCGTGACAATATAGGATTTCTAATTCTTTCAACGTTTCAACAACCTATAAGCAAGTGCGTCATTTCAGGTTTTTTCAGGGGGGTAGGGGGAGGCAAAACCAAAACTTGGTTCAGCTTGTCAAGTTGTTTATAACTGGAGGCGCCACAGTACATAGCAATTTAAATAAAACCGGCCCCCCACACCCCATCCCTCCCCCAAATACTGTCCCTGCCTATGAGTCCACCTTACAAAATGCATTTTAAGTCTTTTATAAATAATTTTGGTATTCAGCGTGCCATTAAAAAGCGTCCTGCCTGCCAGGTCTGCTGGTACGCCTGCCGTTGGTTGCTGACTCCTGTCGTGCCTAATAAAATTTCGAACTTCCATTTTTTTGTTGTTTTTTTTTGCTTTTTTAAATGTTTGGATTCAACGTTAATTAAAACGTGGACTTTGTCCTGATTTTTAAAAAAAAAAAATCTATTCTGGAAATGTCAAAAGTATTTTAGGGATTAGAAGTATTTTCATTTGAAATGCGCGTATAAAAATGGTATACATAATTTTGTTGACCCAGTCGTAACTTTTGACGTAAGGTTAAAACAGTGGTCAGCAAATCGCGGCTCACGAGCCGCATGCGCATCTTTAAGCGACCTGAGTGCGGCTCGGGAAGTCGGCCACAAATCGGTTCTGACTCTGAAAGTCATGGTTCTTGACAGGTTCTTGAAAAGAAATTTGGCTCTCAACATTTTTTAAATCGTCCTGCTGCTCATTTTTGGCTCTTTTGACCGATGAGTTTGCCGACCACTGCGTTAAACCAATGCTGACGATTTATTGATTGTTTTTTTTTTTTTTTTTTTTTTGTTCGGAAGGGCCCCCGTCTGAACTCCAGTCCCCCCCGGAACTCGTTTGCCGTTTTCTGCTTTAAAAAAAAAAAATTTTTTTTTTTTTTTTTTTTTTTTTTTTTTTTTTTGGGGGGGGGGGGGGATCTATTTTTTAAAAAAAAGCCAGGTAAGTCCAGATCGAATCAAAAGCGAATCGTGTTCACCTGTCATCAATATTTCTGTAGCTGAACTCAAGGCCAGGTCCGTGTCAATATATTCATAATAAATTCATCGTTTGAGACATTAGAATTGCGGAGAGGTTGTAAAAGTGTCTCGGAAGGTAGACATTTGAAAGAAAAGGAATGGTTCTCATACGGTTGACATTGTTCACGAATCAATGGGGATTCAAATTCTATTTAAAAATATGTGCTTGAAAATGATTGTGTGTTTTCTTACAATCATGAGTGATATGTGAAAATTATTTTACATTTTAACAGCATTTTTTCAGACCAACAACATAGTGTAAGAAGGAGGGGGGAAAAACCCTATTTCAGAAATATTTAATATTTATTGGAGTTTATTTCTGCAATATTATATATATAATTTAAAAAAAAAAATTCTTTTTTTTACAAATACAACCATTGGTTTTCTTTTCATATTTTTGTTATTTTGCGAAACATGCGTAAATAGAGTTTTTGCGGGCAAATTTAGACAAGTGATCTTACCATGCAGAATTATTCAAATACGAAGATTAAAACCTATTTTTTTATGTTTAAAATTTTATACTTAATAAATACATTTAAATGCATTATAAGAACTAATTTATGTATTTTTTTTTTCATTATTGAAATTTTAAGAAAAATAAAATAAAAAGAAAATAATAATAATAATAAAGCTATGGGTTACAGTCGGTTATATGACTAGATCAGACCTAGACAAATACAAACACAGTCTAAGAGTCTTCTGGGCTTAGGGGATGTTCTAGCAACAAACAAGTATGTTACTTTTTTAAACTGAACTGTTTAATCACATTTCAAATCATTAATTACCATTACGGTCTGAAGCTCTTTCTTTTCGAGTCAGTAACACTGCAGCATGGAATTAGGCTCTTGTACACAAGAAAACAAAAGCAAATGTTGAGTTCTGTAGGTGTTATTTTATTCCAGTTACTATAGAGGTACTGTTTTTCTTCTCTCATGTGGTTGGCATTAAATTGTAGTAGACTAAATAAAAGTTCATAATTAATAACTGTAACAAAAAAATAAAAAATTGCGTAAAGTCTCTGTGTCCAGTGTGTTTAAAATACCCAAGACATCGTGGACATCCGAATCCATTCGCAACACCTCTTTTTTTCGATTTTTGGACCATTCCCCCACCCCACTTGCATTCAAAGTGAATGGTTGATTATTTCTTTTCCCAATAAAATTTGGGCCCCTTAAATAAACAGTTCACCTGCAACCCCTGCGGAGGACACCCCCCCCCCGGCCATCCAATGTTTAAAAAAAAATCTGTAACACATATGTGTATGCTTAATAGGTGCCAATCTATCCCTTGCACCCGCTCTACGAGAAAGTGTCTCATGAGCCATCTGCGCACCCACAGCAGCATACCTTAGGGTGAAAGCGGCCCCTGTCGAGTCGATGCACGAACTGTCGGGTCACATATGATACACTATCCTGTATTCGCTATGTTTCAGATCCGATTAGTCATTATTTAATATTTGATTTATTGATTATCAGAAATGATTTAAATAAAAAGAATTTTGCCTCTTTATTATTTTTATGATTAAACCCCCCGGGGGGGGGGGGGAAGGGGTCTGTTACTTCTGCTGGATGCCAGTTTTATGGCGTTGATTCCTAAGAGCAGCAGTACTCAACCTGTGGGTCGCGACCCCCTTTGGGTTATCGAACGACCCTTATACAGGGTTCGCCTAAGACCATCGGAAAACACATATTTATGAACTAGCAAAAAAATATAATTTTATGGGTCGGGGGGTCACCACAACACACGAGGAACTGTATTAAAGGGTCGCTGGATTAGGGGGGGGGGGTTGAGAACCACTGCCTTGGAAGAACAAAGTGACGAACGGTTAATGGTTTCGCATAAAGAATGAAGCTTCCTGGCAAACACTTTAAAAGCTTTCATTAATAGACAGCCCGGGTTTAAGTTTATATCACGAAACATATTTCAGTAACACTCTGTTCCAAAGTTCATGATTTCCCCGTTCTTCCAGCCTGTTATTTACAGTTTCTTTTAGCTGTTTTTTTTCCACGCCAAACGTTAACTAGTGGATATTCCACTGTCTCAAACAAGTGTCGAGTTCTTCACAAATTCTACTGCACTACATTGGCCAAAGAAAAAGTTGATAACTCACAATACATAATACCAATAATAATAACAAGCGTTATAAGAAAATTTTACTTCTAATCCCAATGCTGTTAGAAATGTATTTATGTTTTATAGACTTTCTTAGCGCAATGCATTTTACGATGTGTAAATTTATTTTCTACGACTTTTTAAATCCTTTATATTTTAACCACGCTTTTGTTCTTGTGTTTCTTCCTGACTGGGTGGCAAAATATTCGGACGGCTAATTGACCCATTTCCCGGTCAAACTATCCAGCTGAAACTTGTCACAAAGACTCATTGCCAATGATATCACATTATTTCAAAATTTCAGGCCCACCCACTCAAAAAAAAAAAAAATAATATTTTTTTTTTGTTTTTTGTTTTTAAGGGGAAGATGAAGGAAATATGATGCCATTGATGGCACGAAATAAAATTCCCAATATCTGCGCTAAACGAGATTCGTAAAAAATATCGCAAGTTCTGTTTGGTGCTTAATATTTTCTTTTGCTTTTTTCTGAAATAGTTGGTGAAATAAATCTGCGGCCCAAAAGCTGGTGTGGCGTTAGAATATTAGATCTAATATAACATAAAATAATAGAAAATGCATAGAGAGGAAGCATACGAAAAACTTTGTTTTTAAGGATTGTTTAATTCTTTATAATCTCCTTCTAATTCGCCAGCCTTCGGCACTAGGCATTTTGTAAATTTTACCCTCTCTAATTGCCCATTTATCGCATCCGCCTGCGGCACTAGTCGTATTGTCAATTTTACCCTCTCCAATTGTCCATGTATCGAATCCGCCTGCGGCACTAGGCGTATTGTCAATGCCCACCGTGCCGATTGTTCCCCCCCCCCCCATCGCAACTAGTCAACAAGCGTTGGATTAGTCACACTAACCCGTTATGTAAGATCACGATCATCAGATCCGGTGTCCGTTAGTTTGTGTTGTCTCAAAAGAAACCAATCACATAGTAGCAAGAGTTCCCGGATACAGGCTACTAGCAAACGAATGGGGTGGGGGTTACCAGACAATGGGGTGGTGGGGCTCACACGAATAGGGTAAGGG